AGTGCTTACAATTATACGCATTATTGTCTTTTTGGTGAAATGCACAAATTCCAGTTCTAACTAGGAACTGGGACTAGTCTACTACTTTAAAACTGGAACTGGTGCATTCCTAGATGAAACCCTTTTTACGTGTAAATTTTGATGATATTTAATTAGTCTACCACTGAAAGAGTCAATCACTATCTGAGTTTTGTGATCATCTGAGTGTGAGTGTAGTACGAACGAACTGAAAATCCAGAGCTTACATAAACTCGTACCTCACTTCCACTCATACCTATAATTACATTCAATTGACATCCGCGTCTGCACTTCTTGTGATCTCCGTTAGCAACCATCTAAGTTGACTGTCATCTGACGTTGCTAACAACTGAGTTAGTCACCAACTCACATCTTCACTGATTCAATTGGTTACCAAACTCGTTAGTTACTAACTCCCTGATAATTAATTGCTTTGGCAATACATTAGTTAATTTATAGTAACACATGGCACAGAATGAATTATATTTGATCCAATAGTTTTCGATTATGATTTTATTCGAAGAAATCGGCATTAGCGAATGTTGTCATCAGCGAAAAATTCTTTCAGCGAAGTTGAAGCCAGAGAAAATACAACGCACTTTAAAATTGACGCTTCACAAATTTTTCAAGCTTCAAGATCCGAACTCTTGAAAGTCTTGTACTTGAACATCGTCTCATAAATACGCTCCCATTATTATGCCGGATCAATTAACAAAACAGTTATACAGTTATATTTCATAATAAAATATAATGTCTATACTTCATATTGACCAAAGATATTAGGATTGCAGAAGAAAGATTAATAACATTTATCTGAGCCATACGTTGTTAGTACTACTTATTCTACGACATTATGCGAAATTATGGTACTCGTTTGATGTTTGGCAATTCAAAGTGTTCTAAAATGATAATATTGCAAAAAGTATTCTCAATTATTCAATGCATGTCAACATACATCTAATATGCCATCGACATTATTTTGTCTAGTTAGAGTTGCAATTCAAATGAGTTCTCCAAGGTTAACACAGACGTCCAAGCTATGCAGTAAGCTTATTACATATAGCCATACTGATTTGTGCGTTGATGTCATTCTTCATTCTTTAAAGCTCAAAATACAGCTATAAATCTGACGAAGGAACAAAAACGTCGTGCTTTTGAGAGACAACTTAAAAGTCCGTAGAAGTACTAAGATATGGGTGTTGGTATGTTGGATTGGTGTTCGTTTCATCGTCATCTGTCTGATACCCACAACATATACTCTCCGACACCCATACTCTGGTCTTATTGAAGTTCATCTGCATAATTGTGTTCTAAAATAAGCGTTTTTTTACTAGGTATTGAAATTTTAAAAAATTCTAAATTCTATGAAATCCTTACTCCAAATGTTTTGTTGAGACATATTAGAAGAAGTTTTATCGTATGTTTGGTTCAGTTCTTTAAATGACAGATAAGTAAAACATTATACGTTTGTCCAAATCTGATCTTCTACTTCATAATATATTAAACGTCAGACTCGTTCGGACTAGTCAAATACATCTCATTGGAGTGTGTCGTATGAACCGTATCCAACACGCTTCTTTTTGGCAGTTTCAAATCATTTTCTGACGGAAGTCATGACGTCTCGAAGTGTTTAGTCAGAGTCTCAAAAAGTCCTCGTCCAGCACTAGTCTTCATTCTAGATGATAATTTAATATCTAGCTGATGCTGAATCTGTCCTTGAAGAATCTCTCTCTAGAAAAAGACTGTGGCTGATATGTAAACTACCACCTGTCGATGATAGAATAAAGATGAGATTCCAGGACATAGTAAGTTTCAGATTAGTTCAGGAGAAGGGCTTTTTCAGACTCTGACTAGACACGTCAATTCAACATGACTAGCAATAATATTCGATATTTAGTCAACCACTAGCTTACTTCGGTGGTAATGAATCTCTTAAGGTTACTCAGTAAAGTAACCGTTGGGTAATGCTAACTATTCAACGCTTATTTTTCGTTTTATGTGTAATTTAGCGAGCGATCATGAGACAATACTATTTGGCACTAATGAATTTAAATTCTTCCTACTATATGTGTGAACGCATCTCACCTATTAAAAAGATCTAATCAAAAGAGAAAATTCTTAACTAGCAGAACGTCAAGTACGTCTATTTGATTATAAAGTATAAGTTACTATCTATTTCGCTAGATAACTACAGCGCTCAACAAAAGAAAGTATCTTCCTTGAACAAGCATAAAAATAGATAATAGCGAGCTGATGTTTTAAGAATGGTGAGTCAGGGCTAAACCTAATTGCCAGCACTAGTTCGATCTCGATTGGTTGTTCCTAATGCAGTTATACAGCGAAAATCTTGTTCATCCTGTAGTTTCTATGTCAGACTCAGGATGGCATTGGATGGAATTCATTTTTTGTCTAATGAGTTAACAAAACCTGCCCTATCCTACTCTGTGGGTGTGTGAAATCGTGACAAAATTATATGGAGCTTCAAAGAATCTTATCAAAATGAGAGTTCTTAAATTAGAGTGTCATTCGACGTGGTCCATGAGAATTTGAAATAGAGTGTACTAGTAAACTATGCTTTTCAGAACACCATGTATCCATATAATTACTCTTTTCATGTAGATCAAGTAACTTCAAAATAAAAACATATTCATTAAAATCTTGAAATCTATGCAAAAAGCATAACAAATGGTATTTTTGATGATGAGGTGGACATAAAATTGATGCTTTTTCAAATTCATTGATTAAAATTGACATATTGATTAAAAAATGCAGTGAATTTGTTTTAAAATTAAATTCAATGTATGATTTTCAATTAAAATACTGGTATTCATCAACAAGAAATGAAGGGTGTGGGTGTGGGTATTGCAATTAATACCCACACCCCCACTAGAGAAAATCAAACAATCACGAGTATTAATTCGTGAGAAAACTGCAGCTTAGCGAACTACTTTTATAGTGAAAGAAATCGAACAACAGCAAGCACTTGCTCTTGGGAGGAGTATGACTAAACGAGCTACTATATCACCAAAAGAAGCTGTAGAACTGCGCGTATTAACTCGCAGGAGAAGTACTGAAATACGCGCTGCTTATGCACCGGAAGAAAGTCGAGCAACAGCAAGCAGAGGCTCGTAAGAGAAAACGTCTTCGGAAAAATCTGTAAGCACAAACGGTTACTGATAGAAACAAAAATCCTAAAAGTAGCGACACTGAATAACCAAAACTTATTGAAATGGAATGCACAATTAACTGCTCAAAAAACTTCAGTCGACATATGCCGATGAGTTCTCTAGCAGAGAATGTTTGTGGCATTTGTAATGTTCGTTGCTATAAGAGTAACCTCTGACACATATCATTGTGCGAAATTCCATCGATTGAATTGCTTAGAGTACATAATGATCTTTATGACATAATTTCTATAATGCAACGAATGAGCAGGTTCCATTCAAAAGATAAGTTTAGCAAGAATGACGATCTTAGTTTAGCTTTCGGTCGAGACGAAAGAGAAGCAGCTGGATCATTGCAACACTTAGACTAGCAAGATTAATCAGGTTTCTTTTTATTATAGATAGGAATATAAAATTATCAATGCATGATCAATCATTTACTTGGGTAAACAGTA